AAGTTTTTATTGTTAGCGAATAAGTATGTAAATGAGGGGAGTGATCTCATTCAGAATTGTGACGTCACCTCACAGTATAAAAACCGAACGTCAAGTGAAGACGGATGAGGTGAACTCCAGATAGCAACGAGATTGGTCAGCTTCGTAGCAGTGAACGAAAGAGAGGTGTCCGATAGGATCAAATAGTTCCAAGGTGATTTTGAAGTTATTCGATTTGTGGATCGACGAATAGAGAAAGTCTTGAGAGTTGAGGAAATAGNGAATATATTATTAGTATATCTGAAGTACAGAGCTCCCATTGAGATTCGGCTTGCTCCCTTGTTTATTACGTACATCACCTCAGTGTAGGGTATTTACATTTATTCAAGTGTTCTGAAAATCATGGCTTCTAAATAAACAGAAAGGTAATTTCAATTGAAACAAAACAAGACATCATCAGAAGGAGTGAAAGTTGACAAAAAGTTAATTGTCAAATAGGGAGAGGTTCAGGAGTTTACCAGCACTCATTATCCAAACAGAGCTGAGGCCAACAGGATCAATGATCTCTACAATGACACCCTTGCCAGTCATTTCCGACAGGTGTTGAAGAAGAGAGAGAAACAGACCACCTTGGACATGTTTTTCAAGAAGCCAGCTGACAAAAAACAAAGGATGGACCAAGAGGAGTTGACACTGCAAGCTCCGGTACCCTCTCCTGAATCTGACTTCAATTAAAAAACAATAAAAAGAGACCTTCTGCAATGTGTAAAAAGTCTGTATCTGTATGAATGTGTGAAAAAAGTATTCCTCCACCTCCTCACAACATCTGACTACTCGGCATAATTGGTGACTGCTCCATTTTCATTTTTTTATGGTATGGTTATTTTATGCTGCAGAACGAATTATATGTTTTAACATGTATTTCTATGGGAAAATGCATTTCGTATAACGAACTTTTCACTTAATGGACGTGCACTTGGAACAGATTAAGTATGTTATACGAGGCACCACTGTAAATAAAATTTGTCGGTTTTGTTTACATGTTTATTGGGCTGCATTGGAACTTGCCTTGGGCTGCATTGGAACTTGCCTTGGGCTGCATGCGACCCACGGGTTGGACACCCCTGCTGTACATCATACTTTTCCTGTTAGATGACCAGCATGACTTCATTGCTAACTCCAGTTTTCATCAAAAGTTCATGCATAGTTAATCAGGGCTTCCTGCCCCTAAGTTATCCATATCTGGTGTTGAATATCATTTATCTAATACTATTCTTGAGATTAAGGAAAGACAGATGGACACATGGATGACAGTGGGAATTTATAGGTCTACATAATTATTATTCTAGTTCTCAAGAATATCCAAAGTGGACACAAGTATAATATAAGTAATTAAGGACAAGAAGCATGTATCAACATTATAGGTCTACAATTTTTTCAAATTGCCACCCAATAACATTTCATTGTAAAAGAATTTGTTAAGCATTCCAGAATGGAAATTGAATGTTTGAAGAGATTACAACTGTAAGAACATGATGCAGGATTCTCAAGGTAGATGAAAACATTTGTACTGTACATTTATTTGAATTCTTTGCTGGGAAAAGTGAGTAAGATGTGTAATTTTAAAATGTGTACAGTTACATATGGCCACAATTTTCAACACTACTCCAGGGGTTGTCATAATAAGATCTCCAATTAGTCAACAATAATTTGCAATCTTTGTAGTTGATGCAGTTTTTGTTTATTGTTACTTTAAAAATAAGAACATACCACAACCTCAAATCAGTTCAGAAATACAATTTTAAAGTTCTACAAATATTTCTGGTCCACTCCTAAGACCTTCATTAGACAGATTTAAAAATCTCCAGTATTTTTAATGCTTTTGTATCATCTTTAATACCTAAGCTTAACTAGGCAATGGATATTTATATGTTATCTGTTTTAATGAAAAATGTTGTTGAGGATGTGCCAGCTTCCAAATTATGTAGTAATGTTATAAATAAAAGTGAAGTAAATAAAGACATTTTGGAATACAACAGGAAACATTGAGGCATTTCTTTATGATGATCTTTTTTAGTCAGTGGTAATACAATTTAATAATACACTATAGCTCTTTTTTCCTTTACAGGTATACCTCGCCTTACGTCGGTAATTGGTTCCAGGAGAACGACGTAAGTCGAGGTATGCCTGTATTTATAAACAAAATAATAAATGAACTTAAGTATAGTATGCCACGTTAGTATAGGTTATAATAAGTATGCAATGCAATAATTAATGGATTTTTAATGTTGTTAATGGCTTTCAGAGGATGCCTTTACTAAGAAAAACTCAAAATATTTAATCGATCATGAATGAATATTAATTTAATAGAAGTCACCAAACATTGTATAACTGTAGCTATTTTCCTCTTTGGCAATTAAAAATTCCTAGATCTAGAGATAAATTCAAAGCTAGACCTGACAATGTTGGTGCCACTCTAAAAAAATGCTGCCTGGGGTGGTCCACCCTCCCCACTCTTCCTTAGTTATTACTGAATATACAGAATTTGAACTTATAAGAGATCACAATAGATTTAATTTTAATAAAACTGTAGATTTTAATAAAACTGCTTGTGTGGATAAGCATTGGTATGAATGTTTATTGAGCAAATGGAGAAAGTATGCTTCTCAAGCATTTTCAAGAAAAATGAAGCTAGAAAATCCTGAGTGATTTATGAACAACTTTGCAGAACCTTTCATTAATTAAAGACTGTGTGATTTGTCTCATATGTGAATTTTTTCAAATCAATGTAAAAATTACATTAATTTGGAAAAAAAAATTCATTCATTGAGATACAAAACAACAATCTTGCGAATATGAATAAGACTACATAGTCCAAAATGAAAAATTCCACATAAACTACTCATAGCTCACATTTATTGTTTTGTTATTTTAACTTTGATTTTCTAGAAAATACTTGAAAAGCATGCTTTCTTCCTTAATAAAGGTTTATACCAAGGCTTATCCACACAAACAGCATTATTTAAATCTGTGAAAACATCACAACCTCCTCTTGTTAAAGAAATAGAATTTCAACTAGTGCATAACAACAACAAAGAAGCATTTTGATAATATTCAAATTTCAAAACAATTTCAAACAACATTGTTAAGGCTAAACAGTTCTGAATTAAATATTACTTAAAATTTATTTATTCAACATGATGAAGTGCAATTTATACATGACACTAGGCTTTCTTTACATTCTTTATTTTTATTTTGTTACTGATACGTGTTTCAGGTTTGTATCCCTCTTCCATTGACTACATTCAATTATAAAATATAATTTTACAACATTATACCATAAAAGATAAGTATTTAACAAGAAGCATACAAATAAATGAACTTAAACACAGAAAAATAAAAAAAGATTTCAAAGTTACTAATTTAGATATAATAGACGTGCACCTGTACCCCTCTATTACATGGGATATAATAGAAAATAAACTAAAAAATCTTAATGCATCTACTGAAATAATAAACTTGACAGAATTCTCTTATAGAAGTAATTACTTTTCTGTAAATAACAATTATTATACTCAAACAGATGATATAAGTATGGGATCCATGATAGGACCTAAGTTAACAGAGCTAGTTATGGAGGAAATAAATAAAATAATCAATAAAATTAATGGAATTAAGTTTTATAGAAGATATGTAGATGATATTATTATAATATATAAAGAGACTGAAATTACAAAAGAAAAGATAGAAAAAGAAATAAATAATATAGATAATAATATAAAATTTAAAATAGAAAAAGAAAATAAGAATGAAATAAGTTACCTAGATATAATAATAAAATGGAAAAAAAATAATTTAGAGTTCAGACCTTACAAAAAAAACCAAGCTCAAAACAGAAAACTATTAGCTATAATTCCAACATTCTCTTATATATCAAAGAAAACATATTTAACATGGAATATAGCAAAATTAAAAAATAAGACAAGCAAATATATTGACATAAATAAAAATATAGATGGCCTAAAAAAGAAAAACAACCAAAAATGCCAACAGAAAATAACAAACCAACTACTAAATACACTGCTTTCTCATACATCAAGGGATTATATAAGGAAATTAGTAAAGATCTAAATAAGACTAATGTTAAACTAGCTCCTACCTATGACAAATTATATTCAAGAATAAAAAGAAAACAATCAGAACAGAAAGAAAAACAAGTTATGAAAGAAATCAATAATGTTGTTTATTTGATTCCGTGCACTTGTAAAAACATTAAACATTATATAAGTGAAACAAAATTAAGGTGAAAATTAGATTAAAAGAACACAGCCAATTTAAAATATTGTAGAACTAATTCTATATTTCACAAACATTGTACATTGAACAATTGTAATATAGGTAAAAGAAAATGTAAAAATTCTACAAATAGATAAAAACATGTATAATAGGAAATTTAAAGAAAGAGAAATTCTCAAAAACAAGAACAGTATTAATAAAAATCTTAGTGTGAAGATACATAAAAACTGGCTTCAAACATTGTAAATGTATTATGAATAATTATAAAATGCAATAATAATGTTAACAATTATATAAAAATTAGTGAATGTAATTAACTGTAAAAATATTTAAATTAGCTAGACATCAATAACAAAAAAGAGGGAAGCGTTAGGCACCATCTCATATTAAAATTAATAATTATGGGGGGCGCTTCTGTCTGCCGAGGCTGTTGGCGTATTTTTCCACTCACCTCAAAAACAGGCAAAGGCCGAAATTCTATCGGGCTAGTTTAAGGCTAATTACTAAATGAATTACGTAACCAATTTGGCTCTAGAGGTAAGCGTTAGGCACCATCTCATATTATTAATAATTATAATATTTAAATAATTTAGATTAAACTGGAAGAAAAGAATTGGCCTGAACCTGCAACTTTTGCTTACCGTGTGATTGTGTTACCAGTTACGCTACCCGGACCTCTGGTCTAATCTCCTCTTTCAGTAAATATAATATTTAAATAATTTAGATTAAACTGGAAGAAAAGAATTGGCCTGAACCTGCAACTTTTGCTTACCGTGTGATTGTGTTACCAGTTACGCTACCCGGACCTCTGGTCTAATCTCCTCTTTCAGTAAATATAAGCTTAAGATATAACCATTGTTGGTTATTACAGTGCCAACTGGGGACGCAATTGCACCCTCATCCAGAAACATCCACTCAATGCACTCACAGTTGGCCATCGCATACATGGCAATGCATACATATACAAATATAAACACCAACTGAAACCCAATGTATAGCAAAATAGACACCCCCAACTGCTGTAAATAATCAGGTTATAATTTGGAAATAATGATTTTGAATTACAAATGAATAACTAGCCGTTAACTTGATTATAAATTGTTTTAAAATTTGAAAAAGTTTTTCTTAGAAATCATTTCATTTTAGAGTAGTTTTGATTTAAGGTTAAATAAATAAACATACAGAGGCATTTAAATTTGTACTCCAGATCTTCCAAGTTCAATGATAAAAGATTTCACCATAAATTTCTATGAGAAATCTACAATTTTTCTCATAAATAAATTCTACTTTAATTTTAAGCTAATTACATAAAAGTACTAATTATTACAAAAAAATTAAAGATCAATATTCAAGATGCAATATTTAAAATTTCACACACACTATTGTATTTTTTTTTTGTATCCATATACTATTAAGTCAATGATTTTTATCTTAAAGAGCAAGCCAAACATTCACACTTATTACTATTTCCATAAAGTAATTAGTGTTAAAAAATATTACCAATTCCATCTTAAAGTAAAGCAGAATCTGTTCCAGACAGGAAATAAACCCCACCTTTCCTGGTTTAAGTTATTCTATGAATGGAATTATTATATTTTCACTAAAATGCTATCAATTTAAAATATAATGTTTAATAATGCATCTAAAAATTAAAGCAATGATTTACCACACGTTTTTGATGTTAATGAATTAATATATATTCTACATATTCTAAACTTCTGATAATGTTCACTATAATATGAAAATTGATCATTGCACTTGTGAATGCATATATGTTTCAACTTCTTTCGTAATGTGTTCCTTTTGTCTTGTTTTTTTGACAAAAGATTCAAAAGAAACAATTTACTAATTTCATGTAAAAATTTACATAATTTTTTACTTTAATAAGGTACTTGTGTATTGTATGTTGAAAAATGTAATTTAAAAACCACAATAATCTAATGAGGTTCAAACCTGACAATTACTAGATAATCTAATTGAAGAAGTCTATTTATCCAAGATTAAAGGTTGGATTAAAAGGTTTTTTTGTGCTTTATATTAACTTCAACTAGTTTGATATTGCATTAAAAATATAATTATTTAAGAAACTCCAATTTTTTTTTAGAAAACTTCATATACAGAATACAAAATTAATAATTCTATAAATTATTTGAAGAATGATCTTATATTTAAATTCATACTTAATTACAAAGTATCAATTAAGATTCTAAAAAATTATACTATAATTTTATAAAATCATAAAACATTTCAAATTTTCAATATAGTTTACATATATGAAAGTAAATAAATCTGTCATATTTCAAAAGTTTGATGCCTGTTTACTTGTTATTCTTAAAAATTAATGAAGTTTAAACATACATTTGACACAAGATTACAGTATATAAAATGCAAGACATGTTCAATAGAAAATTGGAAAAGTCTCATTAAAAGTTGGAAGGATGAGCAATAGTTTAGTAATTTTGACACAACACTTTCAAGTCAGTGGCAACAATAACCATGATTGTTAATATGCAAGAAAAAAAGACAGCAGTCTGATAAAATAGCAGCACCTCTCCAACAGTGCACAAAGTTAAGAGCAGTGCAGTGTTATTCAATTTTTAACAAAACCAAAACCAACATCCATTAATGCATTCAGTCACGTACAGTAAGGAGATGACTACATGAGTTGAACACAGGCATACAAGTTCTAAGTAGAGTTCTAAAATTCCAAAAATAGCCAGATTCTAAAATTACTTTCTCCTCATACCTTTTTTATTTTACATTAAAAAGTTTTGTTATTGGACTTTAAATGTTGTTTAAAGTTTGTTTGTAGCTAGATTCTCCATAGCATTCACAGACAGAGAATCTTCCACAAAACTGTGGCTATTTTTGAAACTTTAGAATTCTACTTGTATGCCTATGTGAAACTCATATAGTCATCTCCTTACACTACCTGAATGCACCAACGGATGTTCACTGGTTTTTGTAAAAAACAGGACAACACTCACTATGCTGTTAAAGAGGCACTGTCATTTTATTATTTCATCGTCTTATATTCTTGCACATTAATAACAATGTTGCCAATTGCAGTTACTGTTGCCGCTACTTGGAAGTATTGTGTCAAAACTATCATGCTATTGTTCTTGTCCCAACTTTTAATGGCACTTTTCCAGTTTTCTATTGAACATATCTTGAAACACATTAAACAATTGTCTTTCAGTGTTAAAAGTTTTTATATATCCACAAAATATATATTCAAGTACAGTAGAGCATTGATTATCTGAATATCGATCAACCAAAACATCAATTAACCAAAAGCTTTCCAGTCGGCAAATTTAAATTTCCGCTAGGGCTGTGGCACTGCAAACTTTAGCTATGTTTTGGGCTACTCCAATATTATTTTTGTTGGTGTGCATGTTTTAGATGGTAGTACTGGCGGTACTACCATCTAAAACATGCACACCAACAAAAATAATATTGGAGTAGCCCAAAACATAGCCAAAAGGGTACTTATGGACCACAAAAGGGTACTTACGAACGTGCCAGATTTCAATGAATTTCAACATGGGATAGGTTAATACATTTTTTCGTACATAATCAGTTATCCGAAAAATCAATTTTCCAAACAACCCCAGTCCCCAATTGATTCGGATAATTGATGCTCTACTGTACTTTCAACAATGTCTTTGTCAGACAAAATTTTTGTATAATGGAATTTCAAACAAAAATTTTTTTTTAAATTAAGGATGTGTTGATTAATAGCAGTCACTCTGTATCTCCGCTACTACAGGAGTGTGCTGCTGTTTGTAAACATTTAGGAATGACAGTAAAAAAAAGATGGCAGTGATACTATCAGTAGTATCATGATAGAGTGATTATGATTATCCAATGCTTCTATCTTCGGAATTTATTAAAATGAATTCCGAAGATAGAAGCATTGGAGACCTGAACATTTAAAAATCGAAATTGCACCAGAAAAACTGATAGAACACCTGAGGAAGACCCTAGAAGTGGGTCGAAAACATTTGTGTTACGTTTTAAATAGTAATTGTAAAGCTATACAAGATTAGTGCGACATATTTGTAATTATCGCTTGTTTATTAGATGGATTTGATTTTTTTTTTTACATTAGGTTTCTTGCATCAATCAATATGGAGGATATTTTCTTGTTCTGAACACCACCTATTTTAAAAACTTACTTAGTACAAGGTCTTAAATGTACAGATACAGGAAGCCATATAACTTTTATCTTGGCTTTCAATTGCTATGGAAGAGAATCCATTAATTTTACAGAAAGTAACAAAATACTTTGGATGGATGAATCCAGTTTTCCAACAATGGGGTCCTCAACAGGAAAACCTCACTAATGTGGGCAGCAGAAAATCTTTGTCAGACATTTCCAGAAAGTCATCAAATATAACGGGAAATAAATGTACAGTATAGTATAAATTACTAAGTGCTTCATTAATAGATTTTCTTTTCCTTTAGAAAAAATTTAAATGGTGCAACCTACTTACGTTTTCTAAAAACTGATTATTGCTTATACTGATTATAACTATTATACTTGAAACCATCTTTCAACAGCAGGCAAGATCTTCTATTTCAACAAGACATTTACCATGTACCATAGCTGTAGTGTTGTAAAATATTATTTAGGTCACAGTGTAAGGAACCAAGTCCGAGCATTATTTTTATTTACTTTTATTTTGCTTTTTATTATATTTTTGTTTGGGGCTTATGTTTTGTTAGGACGAAGGTTTCCTCACCATTCACCTTAGAAACTTAAAAATAGAAGAGAAACCAACTCACCAACGAGAGAAAAGCGCCATAGAAAAAAAACTCACGCACACTTGAGTTCCCGAGCGGAAAAAAGTAAGTCCGCACCGAGAAAGCGGGGAGAAGACCCTACACGCACAACTTAAATTCGCTAAACCTTAAAAGAATAAAACATCCCGCAAATTGTCAAAAAGAATAATGTAAAAGGTTAGCGAATATTGTCAGAAAATAGGCTGCCAGACAAATAGAAAAGTTTTTATTGTTAGCGAATAAGTATGTAAATGAGGGGAGTGATCTCATTCAGAATTGTGACGTCACCTCACAGTATAAAAACCGAACGTCAAGTGAAGACGGATGAGGTGAACTCCAGATAGCAACGAGATTGGTCAGCTTCGTAGCAGTGAACGAAAGAGAGGTGTCCGATAGGATCAAATAGTTCCAAGGTGATTTTGAAGTTATTCGATTTGTGGATCGACGAATAGAGAAAGTCTTGAGAGTTGAGGAAATAGGTTCCTAGTATATTGAGGTGACGATTAGGATCTTTAATTCATAAGAATTATTGTATATAAGTTAAGTCTTTGAGTTTTGTCGAATTCGAAAGGGGAATAGATTTAAGTTAGAAACTAGATTGATTTGAGTTTTGTCGGGTTGATTCTTATTGATTTTCATTGAATAAATTGTTGTTGATTTTTACTAAATTTTGTAAATAGTTTATTACTAGAAATAAATTAAATATTTGCTTTGTTATTGACAAACTTGGTCATTATTTAATTCGGTGCACGCTAAAAGTCCAGGCCTGGCACACTAACGCGAATCCGCGTAAAGTACCCGTTAGAGAACGGCTATTTCCGGCACACAGTCGTGTCGATAATCGTTGTAGAGGGCGGAAAAATAATATAGTACTTTACAACAGTTCTAGTTCATGAGAGATAGGACCCTATGGACGTATTAGATGGCCTGCCCAATCCCTATTATCAATGGAGTGTTTTCTGTGGAGTCATCTTAAAGTTAAAGTTAAGATGTATAATAGTAGTAACAAAATTACTTGTGTAAAAGCATTGTAGTAACCGTAATGACATATTTGATCATTCCATGTCAAGTTCTTTATGATGCTACACAAAGTGATAAAACATGCTAAACTAAACTATTGTATGTCTAAAGAGACATGGATGTTTTGTAAATAAAAATGCTTTTCATAATTTAGGTTTATTACTGAGCACTACAAATCTCTTTACACATTGAGCCATATTGTTTGATAGGCATAATAAATTTGAAATTTTATTGTTTTTCTCAGAATCTCATTCTCTTTCCAATAATATCCATAACGATATTTAGTGCATTTGAGACAGAAAAGTTGACAACATTAGAAAGCATTTTGTGACAAGGAGAAAAGAAAAAATTGCATACAGTAACCAAATTGTTAATGAATGATAAATGGGATTTATTTTGCTTCATTACATGGCTGATCCATGTTGGCTAGACCACTCTGTATAAGGTAGTGTATTATTTGTAATTTCAGGCATCCACTGGGATCTTGGAACATATCAGTCACAGATAGGGAGGAAACTATGTATAAATTAACAACAAAACAAAATCCATCACATACAGCAGTTAAAACAAGATGCAATTAAGTTAATAATTATTTATTATAGTAATGATATTTGTTTAAGATATGTTTAAAACAGATAAAATTATACAAAGATATTTCTAACAACTTTAATAATTGATTAGATTTCTGAATATCAGTTCTGAAGAATACTCTTAATTTTTCTTCTATTTTTTAAAAAGAATTTACACTTGACTGTAATCATATCTTTACCTACATGATGTCTGTGTCAAAAGATTGGAAGGCTTTTCTTCTTATAGTCAATTATTTAAAATGCATTTTGTGTTTCACAACAGTTGAAGAAAAATAAGAGACTTAGTAGAATACATAAAAGAAACTAACAATATTACTGAAAACCAGAGGAAAAAAAAAGCATTTCAAAAAATTAAGGCACTACATGACCCAATACCTGGAGAATTTTGTAAGGATATCAAGAGTAGCAGAATATGATAGTGGTTACAGAAAGGTGCTTTTAAAAAAAGAAATAGAAGACCTTACTTCTGTCACTCAAAAACAAGCACTAAAAATAAATGCAATTAAAACAAATTGAAAACTCATAAATAATCCCAAATGCCACCTCTGAAAGGAGACTAAAGAGATTGTAGCAGCCTATGATGTGCTCAACAAAAATACTGCACAAAATATCTTGAATGGCACTACAAAGTAGCAATAATGACTTACTGGAATCTGCAGAAAGTATGCTTTCCAGTATAACAAAACTTTGCACAATCACAAAATAAAAAAATATTGACACTAAAAATAAAAAAAATACTCTGGTTTTTTTTAATATAACCAGGCACACATCAAGCTCACCAAATCCCATACATTATGTTAATAGGCTGAATAGGGTAGCAAAACATTATAATATTTTTAATTACAGTATATTCATCTTTGGATTTTTTTACTGATATTTTCTTAATTGTGACATCACCAAAGGAACATTTTTTAGGGTTTTACATACTAAGGTGGAAAACTGTCTCAAAATAAAAGTTGACACTGTTGTATAACTTTATTGTGTTCTTGATGTGTGAGGGAAGAAAAAATTGGAAAGCTGTAAAAAATTTTTTTACATTAATTTTTTTGGCAAATTTGGAGTGTTTCTTAATGTAGTTTCTTCATTCTAATGGAGTGTTTCTTGTTTTATAAAATTTCTTGAAATATTATATGGTCAAACTAGGTCTCATTTTAAATATATATAATTATTTTTACCAATAAAATTCATTCCGTAGCAATAAAAAAAAAACTTAACATGATAAACTTGATAATCAGTTTCTAAATAATTCTCTGAAAAAAATGACTTTATATAAAGGAAAAAAATTTATCAGCTTTCAAGATAATATAATAGGCATATAATAATTATTATTGTATACAGAGAAAATAAATGAGAGAGAACTAAAAGCAAATGGATGTGTGTCTTTGGTGATTTTGGCACATCAAAGGATTTTTCATGTTTTATAAAATTTCACTTGGTGACTTTAAACAAAGAAAAAGCAGAATGTGTTTGTAATTGTGAATTAATGGGGGAAGATAACATGCATCATGGCATAACCTTTACCACTTTCTAACAAAGATAATTTTACACAGGACATCCAGATGAAAATTACTGGTACTTAGGTGAATTATATTCAAAATATCAGAAGTTTGTAATATCAAAATTTTGAAATTGTTAAAAGCATTTGATAAACTCATTTCAAACAATAAAATTAACTGATAAATTGTATTATTATTATTATTATCATTATATAATTGTAAGTATAATAAATTTCTGAATAAATAAAATTATCAATAGTAAATTAACCAAACTTACATGTAAAATGGATGTTAACTAGTAGGTAGATTATATTTGCTTGAGATCTTGAAAACCCTAAAAAATTTGAAATCAAATAAAAGCATTAAAAAATGGCTTGTTTTTAATTTACACAAGTTAAATACAGACTAACTTTAAAAAATTAGTTATATCATTTCTGCCTTAATATTCAAAAATATAGAACTCAAAGACTGCCATTATACATGGTCAAAAACATTCATTTTGTTAATAATGTTCCATTTTTTACTGGATTTAAAGTTTTTTTGGGATTAATTTTAATTATAAAAATATTTAAGATTATAAGCCTATGCAGTTGCTATATTACTGGTCAAAACAACTAGGTGATCAGAAAATCAAGGATATATAAACTGAACTAATAATCTGAAATATAAAATAGTTATGTTATGATGTGTGTGTAAGAAACAATACAAGAACATTCATATGTAAATTTAGCATTTAATTTAGCATAGCATGTACTGTACATGTTATGGAATGCCATGTAAGGCATTAAAAAAATAATCTGGATATTTAGGGTAATAGAAAGCTCTAGTAAGGTGTGTGGTCTCCTGAAACAGCTAAACTACAACACACCTGTGTGGAATTGACTCAATTAGGCTGTCAACAAGGTAGTGAGGGAGTTGTGCCACTCTGCATGAAAGGCTGGTCTCCAGTTCATGAAAAGTCAAGATGTAACAAGGTCAGCATCTTTGTCTGCCATGGACATCCCAGATAGGATTAATAGGATTTAAGTACAGAGAGCATGCCAGCCACTCATATGCTTAATTCCTACTTCGTAAAGTATGTCATCCAGTAACCAAGCTTTATGAAGTCAAGTGTTACCATTGGTAATAAAGTGTTTTATTACTCCAATAAAAAACACTCCCTTCTCAGAAGTCAGTAAAATTACATTATTATTGTTTTCTTCTACTAAAAAAAATGTTTTCTTTAAGATTGTGAACAATAAGTTTTGTCAGATCAGATTACCATAATTTTATTTTTATGATTTTTTGTGATATAGCCATGCAGTTTCAAAAATCAACATTGATTGAAATATTACAGAAAACAAAGTTTCTGGCTAATTGTCTAAACAGGAATGTTTTCTATAAGAGAAATGAAGCAATTGCAGAAATAATAGGTGAACTATAAAAAATAAAAAATCTAGCAAGTCACATAATGATATCAAATTCATAAAATTTAAAGTTTTATAATTTAAAAAATCCTAGTAGGGCAGAGAGCACAACCACATGACCTTTGCCCTCTGACCTCACTTTGCTCCCGTACTCCAACGAGGAGAGACAGCTTTTCACTTTACGTTAGTTAACCTTTTGGAGTCGACACAGTGATGATCTTGGATTTGTATTATATCTCAACACTATTGTAAATATCGTGTACCAATTCAAATAAAGCAAATTATTCACCTGGACCAGTTTCTCAGTTAATCTTTGCCGACAAATAAAGGACAGAGAACATGTCAACGTGGACATCATGGACAAGGTAGGATACAACCTAGACCAATTCCACCTAGCATCGAAATGTGCGCGTACAGATTTTAGCCATGCTGCTAAAAACGAAACAAAGGCATCAGTCACAATAATTGAATGAAACAGTTATGAAAAAAGAAGTTTTAATTGTTGCAAATTTGGAAATATTACATCTTTTTCATGCTTTAGTTGCAAAGATATTTAGAAATGTAGATAATTTATCTTATAGTGAGCAGCCATGTATATCCTTGCCAGGAAATGACAACATTCTCTGCAGGTTCAACTATGTAAAAAAATTGATTTGATACATCTCAGAAATTGCAATGGAGCAAAAAACATCAACAGAAATAACTGCAAATCATGTACAGGGCTACTCGATTGGTAAGGTAACAAGATAACTGCCTCAAATGATGAAATAAGTGGTCAAAAATGCTCAAAAGGAGGAAAAAATAACAAACAGTACCAAATACAGTAAAATCTCATAAATGTACTTTAAAGTTGTATACAAATAGTTCATACAAGAATGCCATTACTAAAAGTGCCCTCTATTGGTAACCATTCTCAGGGGAGGCAAAAATCTGTTTTGCCTCCCCTGCAGCAAGTTTCCTAAGAGACAAGTTACCATCTAGCGAGTACTGTTCATTTGTTGTCCATAAGAGATGCTGTGAAGCAGGAATTTTTGCACATAAGGCCAAGAAAAAATCATTACTAACACAGAAAATAAAGACAAGATTGGCACATGCTAAAAAAGCAATGCAACCGGATAATAGAATCATGGCAACATACCATATTTTCAGATAAGACAGTTTTCATTATCTAGTGATGAGCCACAACTGGTTTGTTGCATAGTAGATGAAAGATATTATTCAAACTACCTCTAAAAATTTTAAGTGTAAAATAAGTTTCTAAAAAGTTTTCTTCTTCAGTAATGGTTTGTTTATAATGACTACAATAGAATTGAAGACTATTTTGCGGATGGCACAATGAATCTAAACATTAAATAATCAAGCTATAACTCTATTAATTTAATGATTAATAATAAGTAATTTGCTACTAGAGCCATACATTAGGCACCATCTCTTAACTAAATTAATAATTATAATTTTAATAATTTATTAAATAATTTAGAACCATCTGGAAGAAATGAACTGACCCAGGGCGGGTGCTTGAACCTGCGACCTCTGCTTGCTGTGCGGTGCACTTGTCAGTTGCACCACCTGGACCCCAAGCAAGCTTTCACTTCCAGATGTATTTAGATATAACCTTACACAGTTAATCTCAGGCTATGGGTGTAGGAGTTGTCTCCAGTCAGTGCTGTGATTAACCGCATAAGGTTATATCTAAATTTAAATACTGCTGACTAGACCCAGAGACACAAAAGAAATGGTTCAAAAGCAAAGGAAAAAAAAGGTTAATTGACATGTTATTATAAAAATATGTTATTTAAAATAACTTAATGTCCTTTTATCCTATTCAACAAGGATGGGGCAGAAAGGCAAGATCAGGATAAGCCTTACTAAAACAGCCTAGGGCTCAGGTGGCCACTGATCTTAACCCAATTTAAAATGTAATGCATCTCATGGCTTTTAAACTTCAAAGAGCACAGCCTTCAACAAAATAGAACTGAAAGAAATGAATGTTCATGTATGGCAATGTAATATCAATCATGACATTATTCAAATGCCTGATTGACAGCATGCCAGAGAGAATTTGGACTGTTATTAAAACTAAAGATAATGTCACAAAATATTAATACAATGTATAAATTAATGTATTTTTATCTTGTTTCCATCATGAATATATACATATATATATATGTTATGGGCCAAGTGATGAATAGATCATTATTTATAATGCTTGGTCATTATAAAAAACCAGCAACATTTGGTGTGCCATCTGTTATATTTTATTAAAAAACTTGTTATATTTTTAACTATTACAAAATGGCATATGCTCAATTTTGAAGGTAGAGTTGTTTTATAAAAAAATTGTGAATGCTAATAATGAGTAAAATCTTCATTAAGTTTGACCTGTCTCAAGATATAACATGACATCCCTGTATCTCCCCACCATATTGACTTTTAAATCATCAAAATTTAATAGTATAAATCCTCCTAATAAACAAACCTCCCTGCAAAATTTAAAAAATTCTTGATATACAGAACAGGAGTTATTAAGCTTCAAAGAGGGTGAACAAAATTGTGACCAAACACACACACATAGAAAAACCTGAATTTTTTTTGAATTTCTCAATGTTTCAAGGTGTCCTGAGCTCAAACTGTAAAAATCTTGGGGCAGTCATTTTTTGATCGATCACCAGAGGAACTCTGTTATATACAACAGCAGGGAAAGTAAAATGACTAAAATGGTTGACAGTATGATGAAATATTGATTAATTTATTAAATTGACAACATTATGAATAAAGCTAAATTTCCTTTGGAATATTTGATTTTCAAAACAAGTAAAATGGCAAAACCGTATTTGGGACAAGACTATGTCTCAGAATGTCAAAGTGGAATCACTTTGACATTCGAGGCGGGTCTCGTTCTCATTCTCCAATCTTCTTTGGTATTGCCGTTTTTGGGCGCAATCATTCATACTTCACCGGTCACAATGCATTTTTGATGAAATTAACCTATCCAATTTTGAAATTTCTCTCCGTTGCGTGTCGGCCTGGTTTGAATTTTTGTCTATGAGTAACGAAAATTTCCTGTTTTTGAAAAAAATAAATGTGGATATTGTATCATCCGAAATTATTTTTTTATTTTGCACAAACAATATACAGTTTAACCCAATTATAACATCATCGGATCTAACGACAACCCTAATATAACGTCAAATTTTTATCAGTCCCATGATTTTACTATACTAGATAATGTTAAAAAAACCCACTTGTAACGACATAAAACCGTTTTAACATCATATTTGAAGCACTCCCAAATTTACAAAATTAGATTACAAATTTTATTTAACATAGAAGAAACTACATGTTCAGTCTTAAGGTCAGAGTTCACTTCTTAGAATGACTGTGGGTAGTACTCTCCCCCGCCTAACTTCAGTGGGGTGAGGTGTCTATTTTGCCTGTTTGTAGAAGAGGATCGCAATTTTGTATTTTATTTTGACTCGGTTCTCGGTCCCCTGATTACTTACAAGTCTGGATTTTTTTATGCACAAATGATTTGGGCACCTAATACTCTGTGCCAAATATCAACTCTTGACATTACTCTATGCTGGTAACATACTTCATACCTCTATGCTGGTAACATAAAACAGCAGTGCAATTTTATAAACAAGACATAATCTTGTCAAAAATCTCCACTTTTTCCATTAAGAATTATTTACTTTTGTGAATTATTTAAAGTATTTTAATAACAACATGCAATTTTTAAAAAGTAAGTATTATTAACTGTATTAAGTAAACTAATGTTAATCAAAAGTATAATACATGAGTATAAATTTATATTGCTCATTTGGCTTGCAACTACATATCTATAAATTCAACCTGGCATCTTGAATTCATTTTATTACTTAAGGTTGGTTTAACTATCAGGTCTTTCTTAGAAACATTGTTGTTT